TCACATACATTGGCTGCGGACACACACGCTAAAGAATCCACTTTCAGTCCACTTTCCAACTGGATTTTGCCAATTGACATAGTAAAAATCCGGTTGGAAAGTGCGCTGGAAGTGGATTGAAAGTGGATTGTTTAGCGTATATGACTGCAGCCATTCACTAACTTTCCCCAAGGAGGGTGGGGAAGGATAACTTTGGGCGTTTTTTGTGTGTATTTGTAAGAAAACTGTACGTATCAAGGCATTTCAATCATTCACTGAGAGCCAGTAACACACTGGCTCACCGGGTCAGTAACACACTGTCAGCCTAACCCACCTCACAGGGTCGTTGCTCTGAGGATAAAATGGAGTGGAAGGGAATGTAAGCGGCTTTGGGTCTCCATTGGGGAGCTGGTGCTATTAAAGAACTTGGGGTCTTTAAAAATTATTTCGCAAATTTCAGACCCTGCCTTTCTGCCCTCATAAAGATCACGAAGGCGGTAAAGAAGTAAAACATAAATAATAAAATCACATATTGAAAACCATTAGAACCAACCACAAATACATCGCTCAAGAGCTAAAATACTGAACAACAACATAAAAACAGCGATTAAATTACTGGGCAGAAAAGAAAGATCATTGAGGGAACAACCAAGGAAACAAAAAAGTTCACTCGCTGGCAACAGATGGGTACTGTCTGTTCCTGGAGAGACAGTTCCAGAGTTTAGACGCCACCACTGAGAAGGCCCGCTGTCTCGCCTCAGACGGCCAAGGCACCCGAAGCAGGGCCTCGGAAAATGCGGGCGGGGGTAGGTTTATAAGGCAGTAGGCGGTCCTTTCCCTGTGTCCATACCGTAAAGATCTACACCAGCACTCTGAGGTGTGCCCTGAAACAGATCGGGAGACAGTGGAGACGCCCCAAACTTAAAATAGCAGATCAAAGAGCAAGACATTGAAATGAATCCGGGAAGTCTCAGATGAGCGCAGTCTGAGTCCCCGCTAAGTGAGAGCAGGGTTACAGCCAACGAAACACTTCCCCCGCCTCCAGCGCTACCACGGGATGAAAGCGGCCCTTGGCAGGCTGGGTGAAGTCTTTGGCGGTCAGTAGATGGGCCCTCCCTTGGCCCTTCCCCACCACGGAACAGCGCCCTGGCAGTCCGCACACCTTCGCTCCCCTCTTTCCCCTTGGTTTCTCCGGCGCAGGACGGGGGGGAGGGGGCTCCTTTCGCCTCGGGATAAGCCCGATCATGGCCCTGAAGGGGACCTGATGCTGAGCTCGTGCTGGGAGGGGGGAAAGACAGACCCCGAAACTTGGATCCTGCCAAGGCTGAGTGAGGCCTGGCGGGCAATGGAAACCGCCGCCCTGCGAAGAGCTGAGCTCCGTTCCTGAACTGAAGTCCGGACGCTTCGGGTTCATTCAGTTGCGCGCCCGCAGTCAAAGGCTTTGATCCCCTTGTTAAGGGAAAGGGGGAGATTTTTGGTCGGTTGTCCGTCCGTCCGTCCGTCCGCCTGCATAAATGAGGCATGACTCATGGAAACGCATATTGAAATGTCTGTTGTCGTCCCCATTTCTTATCCAAGTGGGAGAGAGAAATCAACTCCAGGGGGCAGGGGGGGGGGACACCTTGGGGTGCTCCCTCTTTCCAGGAGCCGAAAACAGAGAGGGGTTGGTGCTTTTCTCGACCCCCCTCAGGGTGAATGGAGAGTCACGCAGCCGACACTGGGCGCCTGTTGCCCTGCCTGCGCGGGTGATGAACCTGCCGAGAAGGCGTGGCGAAGACAGAGCTACGGGGGACGGGGGCTCAGTCTCGCGGGACTCCGGTGGAAGGGCAGAAGCCCCCGCCGCAACTCGACTGGCCAGGGAGATCCGCGGGTGGGGAAAGTCCCTCCAGGGAGACCCCCCGGTGCCCCGCCCCTCAGTCCCGCGCGGAAGGGCTTGTTAGCCTCACGCCCCCTAGGGCCAAAGGGGAGGGGATCCCTCCTGGGTTAGGTGGGAGCTCTGCCTTTTCGGATCCGCCAGGTTACTTGGAATAAATTGCATTCAAAGAAGAAGAACGTTTGAGTCCAGTGGGACCTATAAGACCAACGAAGTTTCATTCAAGCTATAAGCTTTCGTGGGCACGCACACTTCTTCAGATACAGACTGAAACAGAATTTCTTCAACCATTACATATAGGAAGGGTGGGGGTTAATTGCCAGGAAGGGGCAATTAGAGTCAAGATAGAGGCAGAAACAAGAATGGAAATCACCAGTCCCTACGTGTAGGCTACCGTGGCTCAAGTGGTTAAGAGGCTGAACTGCAGGCTGGAAGGTCGGTACTTCAGCAGTTGGAGACCCCAAGTGCCGCAAGAGGGACTGAGCTCCCGTCTCTGGTTCCAGCTCCTGCCAACCTAGCAGTTCGAAACCAAGAAATTGCAAGTAGACCTTCGGTGGGAAGGAACAGCATTCCCTGCACCTTGGCGTTTAGTCATGCCGGCCACATGACCATGGAAACGTCTTCGGACAGCGCTGTCTCTTCGGCTTGGAAACGGAGATGAGCACCGCAACCCTAGAGTCGGATTCGACTACCTTTCGAGCAAGGGAAACCTTTACCTTTACCCTTAGGTGTAGGCTAGTGGCCCTTCCTTCAGAACACCTGTATCTTACGGTTAAAGAGCGTTAAAATCAAGAATGATGGGCGCGGCTTCAAAAGAAAGGCGAAAGCGATCTACCTTCAGAACTTTGGCTTTTCCAAATTGCCATTCTCTCGTCAATCCTAGCCTCGCTTGCAAATGGATTTACATTTTAGCAACGTGTTAAATTCCACCTTCAGACCGTTCCTAATCATTCCGCTGCGTAGTCTCCAAAAATGCATCATTTCCCACCCAGAATCCAAAACAACAAAAAACCCTGAAATACTCCTTCACATTTTGCTATATGAAGGAACGAGAGAGAGAGAGATTATATCACTACAGTGGGACGCGGTGCCTCCGCTATTGCTCAAAAGCGGGTTAAAAGGCAAACAGGATCCCTTCGAGATGAAAAGCAAGGGGTCGTTAGTCTACTAGTTTCGCGTTTGCAAAAGAGAAAGGGGGAAACTAAAGCAGTGAATCCTAAAGATTCAGTACTTCCAAGTACGTTTTGTTTCGGATGCTGCCGTGCAACTGCATCCAGAGTATTCTGGAGTCTTCCCTTCGACGTGGCTTTTTCCAGAGAAATCGGAATGCGATTTGCCGACCTGTTCCGGGCGACCCCCCCCCCCCCCCCCTCACAGTCTCTTGCTCAGTGGAGGGCAAAAGGGAATCTAGGTCATCAAAGGGCGGAGGCGAGGACTGGCTACCTACAGGGTAGCTCGCAGTGAATATCTGCTTCCAGATCTAGTACAGAATGCCTAGTTTAGGGAAAGACTACATTTTTTTAAAAAGCGTATGATGACCTGAACATGGTTATTGTACGATTATTCTTGTGATAAGGTTAGCGACACTTTTGTTACTGTGGTATTACGATCACATAACCAGGGGGAGGGGAGGAAAATTTCAATCAGTAAGATTTACTTACAGGTAAATGATGTTGAGGAAGTAGGGTGACTTTTAAAGCCGGCTCCTGGCACAGAGATTAAAGCTCCGGAGTTGCTTATATTTCATAAATGCATGAAAAGTATTCCGTTGGGGCTTGATGTCCCACTTTCCTGTAAAGGAGAGAAATCCTGCCTAGGCTGTCGAGCCTTTGGTGGTCATTGTCTTCTTCTTCTTCTTTTTAAAAGGACGAATACATTAATTAGTGAAAATGAAATTACACGCACTCGATAAAGACGGTGTATGCAAAGACAACAAGTATACTTTAGACAAATACAAGCAGGCGCACAACACATTTTCGACAAAATATTTAGTTGTGGATTTAAAAGCAATCATTTGTGAAATTATCTGTCCACGAGGAAAGGCGCCTATGGATAATTTACAACAACCCTATCAGATTAGAAACAGATTAACAGGGAACGTTTCCTATCTTTTGTATACCTGGAGTTCATATACTGACAGATGAACTGGATTGTTACAGTTTTCAAACTGCCAATGCTTTAAAAGGGAGTAGGACAGTGGGTGGCATTGTCCCCATGTTGGCTTTCGGGCATCCAAACCCTAAACACAGAAAGGCTACTAGCAGGTCTACTCAGAATGTGTTCATTGGGATTTACTCCCAGGCCAGGCAAGTGGTTTTAGGATTGCACTTGATAAGCTGTTGGAGGTAAGACGGAGGAAAGCGTGGAACCAGTTTTCACCGGAAGTGCTCTGGCGCAAGCCCCATATTCACAAGAGAAAGTAAGATCCAGCTAAGCACTTTTGTTCAGGAGCTCTTTTTTCTTTAGCAAGGGCGGCTTGTGCTCAGGAGAATTTCCTGGTGCATTGTGAGCTATGTTTTAGGAGTACTATGCATTTGGAAACAGAACGCAAGTTCTCCCCCAGTGGAATCTTTAATATGTATCTCTTTTTCTATTTAGATTTTTAAAAAATGTATCATATAATCCATGACCATTTTATTACTGAAAGGGGTGTGAAAGACCTGTCTTTAGAGGACTTTTTCTCTTTTTGCCCCCACGTACAAAACAACCCAAAGTAATGATTAAAATTAGCCTGCATTTTTATTTGGTATTTGCTGGGGTGTAAACAGCTAGTGCATCGCCTGAAAATGCTATATATTTTGATGGTATATATGTTCAGTTTTCTTGCAGTAGCCCTAAGAGTGTGGTCACTCACTGCTACCCCCACTGTGCAGATGCAAAATGCCTCTGTGTAGAGAAAGGAAGGACAGGGGGTTTGGGATGGTGTAGAGAGAGAGAGGGCGGCCGAGCACCCCTTAGCTTCCCTCTCCCCTTCCCACGCACTTTTGTAACCTTCTCCAGAAGAAGCACCCAGCTGGGGGGAGAAACCCTTCCCTCCTGATTGGCCGAGGTCCCTTCGTGATTGACACCCGCTCTCCCTGGCCGGGCTCCGCCCCGTCCAGTCACTTTATTGACACTAATGAGCCAGTTCTTCCCCCCGTCTCCTGCCTGGAAGTGCTGACAGATCAAGGCAACAAATTTCAATTACAAGCCCTAATTTGTGTCCGCAGAGTGTTCGTTACCCATGTCAGAGCTGTTTGGCCCCTCAGACGCGGCAGAGCTTGCGGGAGGAGAGCAGAAGGCGGGGGAGCCAAGAAGGAGAAGCGCCTCTCGTGCGAGGAGGCACCGCGGCTGGGGCTTGGGAAGAGAGCGCGCCGGAGAGACCCGGGCAGAAAGCCGCGCTCCAGCCTCCGCCGGCCCGCCGCACGTTGGATGTAAAAGCCGGAGGCGAAGAGGCGGAGGGGGAGAAGTTCTCGGTGCGGCCTGGACGGAGGCAGAGGGAGAGGCGAGGAGGGCGCTGCCGAGCCCGCCGGCCCGGCCATGGCCGAGAAAAGGAGAGCGTCGCCGTGCCCCATGCTGAGCCTCAAGGCGCACGCCTTCTCCGTGGAGGCCCTGATCGGAGCCGAGAAGCAGCAGGAGCCGCAGAAGCGGCGGAAGCTGGGCGGCGAAGAGGGAGGCAGCAGCAGCCTCGGCGACACAAGCTCAGGCGAAGGCGCGGACGGCGAAGGCGCAGCGGTGCAGTCCGGCGCTGGGGCGGGCTCCGCTGCAGCCGACGGCGAGCAGAGCTGCGGCGCCCGGGCACTGCCGATCGGTGAGTGAGTCGCCTCCGCCAACCCGGCCGCAGGGAACAAAACTCCCAGGGATCCGGCGGGTGGGTCTGGGCTGCCTCCCCCGGGCCCCCCCTTTCCTTGCCGTCAGGGGCCCGAGCCGCCGGGCGGCATCGCTGCTGCTCCCTCCAGGGCAAAGGCATCGCAGAGGCGGTCTTTCCAGAGGCCACCTCGGGAGTCCAAAACCCGGTCAAGCGGTCGCTTCTGCTGTCAGCGCCTCTCTGGCGTCTGGTTTTTTCCCTGGTTGAAAACAGGCACGCTTAGCTCCGCCGACCCCACGGGGTGGAGAGGAAAACTGTCTTTTTGCGTTAGCGGGGCATTGCTCTGAAACGTCTGCTGGAGCGATGCTTCCCTTGTTTGGGGATGTTGGCAAGCCTCTGCTGCCAGGCTACCAGTCTTTCCCCGCCTGATTTCCTCGGAACCATTTGGTCGGGAAAGCTGTTCTGCCCGGTACATTCCCCCAGAAATGAGCCCCGCGATTACAGCCTTACTCGCAGGACGTTCCTGCGATGTTCCGCTAAACAAACCATGTGGTCCTAACACTGAGGCCCCCCACCCACCCCAAAAGAAGAGAGGGGCGTTTGCACACACTGGAATCCTTAGTCTATACACGGAGGACTTTGTCCCTCATTGATTGTACTGTAATTAAAAGATGGACTTCTCTGGTATTTAACCCTTTCTGGCCTGACATGACCCTTATTTAAAACCCTTCTTCCCCCTAGTTGTAGTATCAACAATCCTTTTAATAGGGGGGGGGGGACTCTCTCCACACCAGTTTTATTAGCTAATATTAGTGGATACTAGTGGAAGAACATACTGAGAGAATATGAAGCGAGGCTTCCTTTTTAATTGTCCCAGTTAGGTGAAAAGGTGAACTAAGACAATGGCTGCGGTCACACACACTAAATAATTCACGTTCAATCCACTTTTCAAGTGGATTTTGCCAGTTCACACTGTAAAAATCCAGTTGGAAAGTGCACTGAAAGTGGATTATTTAGTGTGTGTGACTGCAGCCAATTCATAATATGTTTCCCCCCGTTTTTAAAATATGGGCTTAAGTTTTGCTTGAAATAAAAACATTGTCACAAACAGGGAGCAGCATGTTTAAACAGTTTAATTAAACATTTTATACTACATGTTGCATGCTGTAATATACAGATGAATCTATGAAAAGTTATGTAGCGCTATCATATGTATATCGTATAATACATTCCTTCTGGAACTAGTTTTGTGTTGATCCCTCACCCCATAAAAAGAACGAAAGCGACTGATCATATAGTTTAAGGATTTTTAAAAAGACCAAAAAAAGGCGTAGTTTTATACCTGTTAAAACCTCAGGAAGTTGTTGACGTTTGTTTCTTAACAGGTCTTGGAATCCCCAAACCTCTAAATTAAGAGTTTATTAGAGTCAACCCACCCACAGAAGACGAAGGACTTCTAAATGCCATCAACGGATACACAACCTCATGCTTAAATCGTGTTGATTTGCATAGGATGTAGGCGCCCCTCGCTTTCTTTAGACTGCAGGTCCTCGTCAATAATCAAATCAATCCAAAGGAGGTACAATCATGGCAAAGCTTGCTGGTTAAAAAGCGACGTTTGCAAAGTAAAGGCTTTTTCCACGGGGCTGAGATACTCTGAAAATCTGGGACACACATTTTGCCACAAGGAATGGACTTCCGCCCAGGAAGCGACCTGTTAAACGAGCGGGATTTCCACCGAAATCCACAGGGCCTCTTTGAAGCCATGGGGGTTTGTTCCCAGGCCAGCGCGCCCGAAGATCACCGGCTTTCTTCAAGGCCTCTTTTCGAGAGCTTTAAAAAAATAAAAATAAAAAATGGCGCCGTCTTTCGCAGCAGGCCCACCCTATCTCCTGGGCCGCCAGCGGCCGGGCTTGGGGCTCTCGAGCTGTTCTTTACTTGGGGTCCCTAATTCCTGCCATTTGGCCACCAAACGGCCCTTCCTGGGGTGAAATATCTTCCGCAAACACAAATGCGTGCCCGGCCACTCGCTTGTTTTTGCTCTCCCAGCGCTTAGGCCCAAAGGAGAGAAGGGCTCGAGGCGCGCCAAAAGGAGCGGAGAAGGCGCGGTGCCCACGTGCCCCCCTCCCAAAAGTGCACGTGCGCGTCGAGAGGAGGAAAAGGCCCCGCCGCAGGCGTCTCGCGCCTTAGGCGCCTCTAATTGCTTGGCAGAGCCGAAGCTTCGCCTCTTGGCCTTTCTCGCCTCCTTCAGAAACCAAAGATGGAGGCAGAAAGAGCAGACGCGTCGCCTAACGCGGGGCTTGGCGTCTCCGGGGTTGTTTCTTCGCGTGACTCCGCGCTCTCTTTTTCTCGCCTCTCTACAGGCGGCTGTGAAGAGAGTTTCTTGAGGACCACGTCACCCCCCTTGTCACCCGGAGGTCCTGCCAAGGCAGCCGGTTCGAGGCCCGCTTCTCCTTTGCTCGCCCCGCAGATACCTCGGGTGGATCTGCAAGGCGCGGAGCTCTGGAAGCGCTTCCACGAGATCGGCACAGAGATGATCATTACTAAGGCGGGAAGGTAAGCACCCCCCCCCCCCCCAAAAGGGGGGGGCGGGGGGCTTACAAAGCTAACCATGCAGTTCTGAAGACATTTCGCATATTGCGCAGATATCCAGAATTCAAAGCGGAAAGTTGAGCGCAGTTCCTTCCGAGGGGGAGGGGATACGCCAAAACAGCAAAGCGGACGAATTTCGGCTTATCCGCATTGGTATCGCACTGTTAGTAACCCAGGATTGGAACTAAGTCTTATTCAATTAAATTAAAATTATTTCCAAGTGGCGTTGTGAACTGGGTGCAAACAAATCCAGGCAAGTCGGTGTATTTTCTGCAGGATCTCTTCATTAGTCCGCTTGATTTAGCGATGTGTATAGTATTTTAAAGTGCATGACACATATTTTAGCAGTTTCCAAGAAAGAGTATTTACACACAGACAAGACTCGGAAAGCCATTTACGGTACGTTTGATTTGTTTCAAGGTGTGATCAGTGTAACTCTAAGCTATCCACATTAACAGTGATTCTGGAGTGTAAACCTCTGTATTATGGTTCCTGGACAAACTCCAGAAACATTTTTTGCAATTTGTTTTTTAACAGTTTTAAAATGTACAGTTTCTAGCGTTTTTACATATTGCATGTCAATATAAATGTTTTAAAATGGTTCGTGCAGAACATTTAAATCCAAAACATCAGGAGAAACTACAGGTGTCCTTTCATTTTGTGTGTTTCAGTTGCTCAGGACCTCATTATCACATTGGCTTTGCTCCATGCAATTAATTAAATAGAAAATCTGACACTGCAGGTTGGATGTTCAAATGGCTGTTAATTTCTAAAGATGGCAGACAGAATCCCAAATTCACAAATGCATCAGAATAAATAAAGTAGATTGATTTATAAGCCAGCTCAGCAACAATAATTTTAGTTGATACAGAAATATGTGGAATTTTGGATTTCCTGTTCATTAGGGTGAAGGGTATGAATGCTGCCTTCTTCTAAAAAGAACCTTTTTCTTCCCTTTCCAAGGGATACACATGGTAAAAACCTGTATAGTATGAAAGTATCTGAATTTATTAGAAATTACAGAAACATATTTTATTGAATCCATATGGTACCTTCTACATTTTCAGAGGGCTTTATTAATGATTGAAGTGCAGTCTTAAACAGCACAAGGAAACATTTGTCTTAAAAGTTGTCCTGTCAAAGGTTTACTTTTCATTTTTTTAATCTACAGGTGCACTGAAATAACAGCATGAACTAGCTGGCTACAACTAGATTTGCCCTCTTGTTTAGCTAATAATAATATTTAATTCCTTCTAAAATCTAGCTTGATTTCATATATTTGGAACATCAAAATATTTAACAAAATAGAATTTGTATATTTGCTTACATAATAAGAAAAAGCATCTGTTATACATAGATTTGAGACATGTATCAAATTATGTGTTTTATAACTACTCCAATCTGACCCTGGGAAAGATAGCCATATACTCCTTCATATTTGGTTTCCTTTGCTGACCTTAATACAAGGTCTACTAGTGCAGAAGTTTTATCCTTTGAATATAAAATAATATGTCCACTGATAGATTCACATATGCAAAGGCACCTGAAATCAGTGTGTTCTTTGTCTACACTTTGTGAAAGTTGTATGTGTTACCTTTTATAATACCTATTGTTCGATATAATTAAGCAACAAGATTTCCAAGCATCAGACTGTTATTTACATCCCACCCTAACTACGTTATCTGAAGAAGTGTGATTGGACAGGAAAGCTTTGTTGGTCTTAAAGGTATCACTTGACTCAAACTTTGTTATGTTCATGAAGAAGTAAGTTCCACTGATTTCAGTAGGATTGTTTCTAAGTATTCATGTTTAGTATTCTAGTGGGATGGGGGGGAGACTGTGGACCCAGTATTTCTGTTATGTGTATGCACCATTGATTAGTATTGTCAGCTCTGACAGGCTCAATCAGAGACAGGGGAAACTGATTTTAAGTATCATATTCTGACCTTCCCATGGTAATGCTGGTAATCTTTTTGGCCAGAAAAAAACCCAGTTCTAGATGTAAGGATTTCTTGATCAGGGCCTATGATTTGGAAATAAATGTAATAAACTTCAGTGAAACTCCTTCAAGTAAATATCCTTAGTTTTAAAGTGTTAACCTCTGAATGGTCTATTTTGTGTAAGCAATAACTCCTATCTCCTTATTAGTGTGTAATGGTAAAGGGCTAGAATTTAAAGGCTGCCAGATAATCTTCGGATCTTCTGGCTATATTACACACATTGCCATACAATAATTATTATTATCCTATCACAGTACATTTCCTGATATTACTGCTGTGAAACTTAAATTTCTAAAACAAAATTTCATAATGAATAGGGTTTGCTGGTCAGCAAACTACACTTGAATATTGTAGTCTAATTTGTATTCTGAAGAAATTTGAAAACATGGGTCAGAGGAAAAACACACATCTGATGTCTGTTGAAACATACGTAAAGAACTATTTTATTAATCATTGAGTTACAATGATATTCCTGCTGCTAATCTTAAATTAGAAAATGCTGGAGCTGTTTTTGCAAACATGTCCCTGTTTCTGTGCAAGTCTCAAAGTCTGTTTTTTATTAAAATGCTCTCTTTTTTTTGTGTTCAGACGGATGTTTCCTGCAATGAGAGTGAAAATTTCAGGTCTAGATCCACATCAACAATATTATATTGCTATGGACATTGTCCCAGTGGATAACAAAAGATACAGGTAAAGTAACTGCAATTTAGAAAACTTGGAATATTGGGAACTGGTAAAGAGCATGGCTGGTTTGGAAATTAACAGAAGGTTGTGCTTAACTCTTCCAAATTCCTATCCATCTCACTGCATAAAAAAGTTCTCTGCCAAGCACGTGAGAACAATCAAGAGATTTTTTTTACATTGAATTGCTTTGTACATTTGGCTCATATTTTGAACACACTCTAGATTAGTCTTCAAATATTTTTTTTTCTGTCACGTAAGCCATAGTCCTCGAGTTCCTTGATTTTTGCCATAGACTCACTGAAGCCAGTAAGGTCAGTTTGGACTGTATGTAGCCTGTGTTAAGCATGGTGCAACAGCATTAGTCGTGAATGTTGTGATTGGTCAGTTCTTATCACTTCTCTGCATGAAAATATCCTGTGACTGAGTAAATGCTAAAATATAGTTTAATAACCATGGCTATCCACATTTATTCCCATTAAAACTTGTGGCAAGAATTTGTAGGAATCGGAGAGCACAGTTCCGTTTTCAGGAATTTAAAGGTTTTACAACAGTTGGTCCAACCATATTTATTGTTGGGTTTAAGAAGTATTACCAGAGGGTTCAGTTGGAAAAGACTTGTGCATACTATGAGTTTGATAAGTTAAACAGCCCCATTCACTAAAAATCCCATGTTATATAATATATGGAAGGCAATTTCCTTTTGCTTACTCTTGTACCACAAATCCTGTTTTTTCTGCTTTATATGCAGGCCTATTTCTGCATTTCATGTGCACTCGTATGAAAACAAAATTTGTGCTCTTTTAACTTTCTTAAGGACCCCATAATATATTATTAAAATGTTTTTATGTTTAACAAATTTTCAGTCAGGTCAGAATTCAAGCAGCAAGATCACAAATGGCATAATTTCATTCTACTAATAGGTTGCACAGTATCAAGAAACATATAGCCCCAGTCCAGTTAGTCTGGTATGAGAGCTAGGACTCTGATGTGCACATAGTTTTGTTAGACGGGGTGCCCCTATTCTTTTCAAACAGCCCCTTTCAAACAGCCTTTGTAATCCGTTTTAGCTGCCGGTTGCTGATGGGTTCTTGTGTCATTTCAGACACAACCATTTTGGCTCCTGGTTGCTAATGGAATTTTTTATCTTTTCAAACAAAGCTGTTTGTGCCCTATTTGTAAAGTGGAGCTGAGCTGTTGTTTTTTTAGGTGTTCTTTGCAGTTCTGAATCACTGTAGTGTGGTGTTTGAAATGTCTGCAGCGCTTCTGAAAGTGCCACTTCCTCTTGCATTTATTGTAGTGCATTCTATTTTGGTTCCCCCCCATAAATGTTCTAACTTTTGTGCTATAGCGCTAGATCGATATAGCACTTAAATGCTATATTGACAGCATTCAGATGCTTGTAGCTTGCTATACTAAATTGCTATATTGGTCAAGCATTGTAGCGCAAAAGTTAGAACATTTTTTAAAAGGGCAAAAAAAGCAGAGTGGTTTGAAAAGGGCAGAGTGCTTCAGATATAACTCATAAATGTATTACAATGTGCTGTCTGAAACCTCTGTCCCCCATGTTGCTTTACAAGGAATCAGGCCAGCAATGGGTAACAACCAGTTCAAAACAGCAATATGAAAGGAACCATTGTTATGGAATGCTTTGTGCTGCGTTGTTGAATTCATTATGTTTATGAATATTCCTAAAGAGGATGAATCTGTCCACAATTTGGAGCCCTTTAAACTTTAATCTGAGTTGCGGCCATTTAATAAAAGTGTGCAATAACTGCAATCTATTACGTGTATACATATTATTTTTCAGAATTTACAGCTGTAGGGGAAAGGGGGAGAAAGCCCCAGATTTCAGGTACTGTTCTTAGGATCCAGTCCATTGCTTCTTTAGTTGAATTGGTTCACTAACCAATTTAGTCAGAATACTTCAATTAAGGTATTAATTTTAATTTATCTTTAAATGGCTGTTTTCACTGTTACCACCAAAATGGCATTGTATCCTAATATTTCACTATAACTAGATTATGTGTTGCACTGCAGAAACATAGCATGGTACAAGTCCTTTTTATGCTAAGTAGCATTTGCTACAGAGATAAGAAAATTAATTTTTTTCTGTTATGGATATGTTAAAAAAAACCCTCAGGGTCTGTTTGGTCCAGATTAAGCTCTTTTAAGTCTCAATGATTTTTGTGACCCATCTGTTTTCATTCAGAGTGTTTTAGGTCAGTTCAAATAATATTTTATGGGTTACTTCAGTTATGAACTTAAACATATCTTGCACATTTGAACTGAACATTTCTGAAGTTAGCAAGGATACATTAGACATGATTTCCAAATTATGAGATCTTTTGAAATGGGTAAACGTCAGTGAATTTAGTGTTGATGACCAATGTTCCCGCTAAGCTGTGGGGTGTTGTGAGCAAAAATTCTACTTTGTGAGCTAATGGCATTAAAGTTGTGAGCAAGCAATTTGGCTATTGCATAACTTAGTTTGCTCTGGAGCCATCCTTCCTGAGTTAAGACAAAAATATGTGAGCTGGAGGCTAAAAAACTGTGAGCTAGCTCACACTAACTCAGCTTAGAGGGAACACTGTTGATGACCCATGCAGATAGCTTTTTATTAACATATATTTCAGTCTTTCTGCATGTCAGAAATTAATATCTATTTATTTACTTTACTTATATCATGACTTTCTCTCCAATGGGAGCCCAAAGTGGCTTACATTCTTCTCCTCACCTCCATTTTATCCTGACAACAACCCCATGAGGCAGGTTAGGCTGAGAGAGTGAGATTGGCCCAAGGTCACCCAGTGAGCTTCCATGGCAGAGTGGGGATTCCATCCTAGGTCTTCCAGATTCTAGTTCAATACCCTAGCCACTGTACAAAGTTGGCTGTCTGTCTGCGTTTGGTGCCTTTCCCTGTATTGTGCCATTTGCCCTCCTCCCCTTTGGAATCTGTCTACTTTCCCCCCCTTTTTTCTTTTATCATAAACTTTCCTTATAAAGACTTCTTTTTTCACTTCAATTAGTGCAATTTATTTCTGTAGAATATTTCTTTTAATCTCTTTCCCATGTGCTAGACTTCAAGGGTGCTACCAAGTTGGTTATAAGGTATTTTTTAGGGTCTCTACCCTGTCACTTTGTTATTGTTCTAGTGCTGTGCTGGAAGGTTGCCTTCTCAGTGGGTCAGTCTTGATGTTCTTAGGAGGTCCTTGGTGGTGGTGGTGGGTTACCAGTGGATTCCTTGGTGTAAGGAATTCCAGGGAATCCTTAGTCTAAGGGAATTTCTCAGCAAGGAGAGACACATCTTCCCCCTTCCTACAATTCTTCTAGTTGAATAATCCTTACTTGCTTCCTGAGTTGTGGCACAGTGCTTTTCAAATACTGAGCATAATTCCAGAAGTTTCCTTAAAACGAATATACCTTTCATGGGAACTGAGTGTTGTGGATTCTGCACAGTGATCCCAGTCTTACTTCGGTTAGCATGCAGGACATAATAATACTTCATCTCTTTTAATAGTATTATGGTAAATATCAGAAAGGGATTTTAAATATTTATAATATATACATGAACTCTGCAAATAGAAAAATGACAAATAATTTAAAATAGTTTTGATTGGATCACAATTGTGGCATTGGGGATGATTACAGGACTCCAGTGATTTAATGCAGGTTCAGTGCCTTTGATGTAACATGGAACTCCTCTACCCTAAGGGTTACCACATTTCCTCCAGTGGAGCTGGCACCTCAGAGCTCCATGTTGGCAATGGAGTGCACATTGCCAACAGAACTCAAGTCTGTTTTGATCAGGTCAGATTTGATTGCCTGTGCCAAGCTGCAGCTGATATGTCTAGGTAAACAAGGTTATTTTAGACTAAATGCACACTTATTTCATTTCAGTCCTTATGCTATCCAAAAGCATGCTTTTAAAAATTATGATGCATTTTATGATAGATAAATGGACTACATAAACATATTCAGTTGTTCAGAGGATAGTTTTAAATAGAAGATGGGGTTATCGGCAGTCAGAATATTGTTTTTGTTATTGGTTAAATTAAAGAACAGGAATTTTAATCTGTGAATTTTAAAAGAAATCTTTATAGAATGCTTATTTTTTCTGCAATGATCCCATTGTTGTATAAACATTAAAGTACATGTTTCTGGGATTATTTCTAATGCTCATTTTATTTTTGCAGCCTCATTTTAGATTTGTCAGCGTTTGGTTTAAAATATAATGGGATACATCAAAATAGCTTGAGCCAAAATAGTTATTTGGTGTTGCAGTTTTCCCTATAGTGTGCAGAGGAACAGGGTTGGCTGGGTACTTGACTAGTCAAAAATGTTTGCTCGATTAGTTAGGCAAGTATTGGTCAGTTATCTTAAAACCTTATTAGAACATCAAAATGCATTCATACATCAATTTTGATATACTAATTATGAATTATTATGGTGGGACAATGGAATCAACTTTTAGAAATGCAGTGGGTTATTTTAATTTTTAACTATATGTTACAAAAGGCTGCTATAAGTATTAAAGTTATATTTAGTGGTTCTTTTCTGCAGTTTTTATCCCGAAACACCAGCAGGGTCAGCATATAGTAACAGCCTGAAAACAAAGTAATTAAGATAAAGCAAAGAAACAGCATTAAAAACAAAAGTCAATTTTAAGGCAGATGTTCCTAAGACATGATAGTTTAATAGAATACAAAAAGGCAAGCTGCCACTTACACTGTGGTATTCTTGGGTTCTTTGAATATTTGATGGTATTTGACTGACTGTTGACCAGCATGTCAGTCAAACAGGAATTCTACTATCATAGATTTTTACCTAAATAGTTATCATCTCATGTATTCTGGTAGAAAGTTTTTGCTACAAAGTATATAAAATGCCAGTGTATTATTTCCATTGTGCCTGTCATAAACAGTGGGTTTTTTTCCATAGGTATGTTTATCACAGCTCCAAATGGATGGTGGCTGGTAATGCTGACTCACCTGTGCCGCCTCGTGTATACATTCACCCAGATTCACCTGCCTCAGGGGAAACTTGGATGAGGCAAGTCATCAGCTTTGACAAACTGAAACTTACAAACAATGAATTGGATGACCAGGGCCATGTGAGTATGTGGTTTTCTATGATGGTACAAAATGCTGCATCTTCTAAAGAAAGGATCTTTGATTTAACCTCACATTCAAAAACTGGATTGACCATACAAAATTTAGGACAGGTTATGTGTGTGCATGCATTTGCATTTTGCCATGAAGGCTAATTAGTAATTGGGTGCCATTTTAGTTTGCAAGACTGCTTTCTGCCTTGGAAAAATTAGATTAACTAAATGAAAAATAGAGAACTAGCACTACATTTTGTCAGTGCACGTTTAGTTCTTTATAGGAAACGTGAAAACAATATGCCTGTCTTAAAAAATGTTTTCCACATACAACAATTTTACTTGAGTAAAATAAAATTTAACTAATGATTTTTTAAAAAAACAGCTAAATCATTTGTGCAGAACTCCATGAGGTGTTAATAACGGTACTCAAAAAGGAACAACATAAGAGCTGTGTTCACTCTGATAATGATTTATTACCTACCTTATGGAGCAAGACCTGTTCACAGCTGAAGCTCATTACTGTTGCAAAACTGGCAGGGAATTGTTCAGTTTAAGTATTCTGTTTGCAAGCTCCAAATTGTTTAGTCATGACATTACCTCACGTGACAAAATACATTATAAGAATATTTCCTTCTCAGTGCAGAACTAGTGGGGGGAAAACCCCGACCATTGTCTTTCATGCAATCTCCAATATACATTTCAAACTTTTGGTAAATACTGTAGCCTTGAGCTTTGAAATGAGGCTTTTTAATAATATGTTTTGAAAGTCCAGTTATAAATCACACATTAATTCCTTTAAAAGACTGTGCTTATAGGAAAAAAATTCTAAGAACTACAATATGTGATGGCTGTCCTAACATTCTTGTAGAAAAACAAGACATCCCCTTATATATTAAAAACTTCCCTGCACCCATGGAGAACACAGACCAAACAATCACCAATTAAGAACTTTAAAAAAGCTGTTGTGTGTGTTTTGAGACTGACAGCCTGAGACTGCTTTTTTGAGGCCAATCATGACTGTTATTCAAACATGGTCCAAATGCAATACATTGACCTCCAGGTAACACTAGATTTTTTAATCAAATGGAATGAGGAGTTATGTATAATCCAGTCTGCACACCTATAGGTAATCTGTTCATAAATAATCATACTGTTGGTCAGGTAGAAGAAAATTAGTGGTCTTATACCAACTAAAACAGTTGTTCCTAGATGCTAAAATGGTGGAATTTTGAAGTAAGCTGACAACCGTTGGATTCTTTAAAAGTTAAGTTCAGTAAAAACTATGTGGGCCTATGCCATACATATTGTGTTCATATTCTACTTACGTTTTTTGTGTTTTTTTGGCCACCTATTAATAGTTTAGAGGTATGAGCAACCATTCTCCCTGATTTAATTTTAAGCAAGTAGTGAAAAATTGGTATTGCTTCTGTCCCTTGCTTTACAGAAGTTGGTAAGTTATTTTAGATAAGAAATGCATCTCACCAAGATGGTCAGGACCTAAGAAAATCTTGACACAGTTTTTCCTCGCATTTCTGGATCTTGATTCTGCATTCTTTCAGTAAAGACAAATGTTAATAAATGGGAAAATTTGCTTCTGTTTAGTATTCTCACTGTACTTGCCTGGCTGCAGTGCTTGTGATGAAGCTGAACTTTACTTAGTGAAGGGTCTTGACTCTGCAATTGGCCGTGGATGGATTGGTTGCTTATAACTATTCTTTTCCTTCGGCACAATAGATAATTGAATGTCTTTGAACTAGATAATCACAATCTACAGATATCAGTTGGATTGAGAGTAGCTTTTCACATTGTGTAATCATAAAGGTTTAACATTTCCCCTCTGAGTTGAAAACTATGTAGCTCTTGCCATAAAACTATTATTCATTGTGTGGAATACTTTAGGATTACTCAAGAATTCCTCTTTACTAAGTACTTTAGTTTGGAAGAAAGTCAAGCAGCTTTTTCCTAGAGCAATTCAAAATACACATTGAACTGATTCAGGCCTGAAATGTGCCTTGAAAATTGGAATATAAGTTTTGAAGATGAATAGAAAATATTGTGTAATAAATTGGTCTTTCTAAAATTGGGAAGATTGCAAAGAATGTCATTTTTTATTACTAGAAAATATAGAAACAAAAACCAGAGAAATCTGCTCCAAAGGATACACTTTTATTCTTTAGGCATTATGACAGAATGAAGGAATATTTTGAAGTGGTTGAATTGTTGCACATGTAGAATAACTCGCAGGGAATTTTTCCTTATAAATGAAGAGATGGAGGTTCATTATAAATCAAGTGAAGTCTGAAGATAGCATTCTGTAAATTAGCATTCAGAAGTGCATTCTTAGACATATTGATGAATCATGCCTAAGGCTTGAGTAGTCTCAGTGCATGTTCTCAGTCAAACTAATGCATTTAAGGGTGTATCAGTAACACGGGCTTTTCAGTTGGTGAATGATAGGTAGTGATACTGTGGCAACACAAATTATTTTGCCTCCATCATTACCACAACAACCCTCCAACATGTGTTGCTCTGTGTTGTTGTTAGCCATCCAGTCGTGTCTGACTCTTGACGATTCTATGGGCCAGCTCTCTCCACATTTTCTGATCTTGTACTGTTTCTTTGAGTTGTTCCATGCTCAGGCTGGTGTTGACCTTTATGGTGTCTAGCCATCGTGTTCTTTGGTGGCCCTGTTTCCTTTTGCTGCTATTCTGTAGCTTTATGCAGAAGCAGAAAAATTAAATGCTGTTCTTAGTCCTTTGGATACAAATGCAGTATCCAGTTTTGCTTATTTTATCCTTTCATTTCCCCCTCCACTTTTGTTTAAATCTTGCCAGCTAGCTTCCTTGTTAGAATTCATAAAATGGATTGTGTTTTTGCATCAAATTAAAATAATTGGTTTTCATTACATTGCAGGTTAGGTTAAAAGCTGTGTATGTGTACTGAATTATTATGTTAAGTCACCCTTACTGTACTTACCAAAAAGGCTATTTATGACAGTTGCAAGAATTTCAATTGTCATCTTAGAAAAAATCTTGTGTACAGTTGTGAATGTACAGTTAGAAGAATGACAGTAATGTTAGGAAAGGCAAAATCACAATGCTGTGTTTGAGAAAACACTTTTTAAAAGAATCTAGCAGCACAGTCCAACAATGCAAAGATAGGAATGCTTAACCTGCTGATTTCTGTATGCTTAAGTGTATGACTGTTTTGGATTGCGGCCTCAGATTTCAAGCGACAAATTCTTAACTTTGATGATAGCTGTTCCCTCCCACTGTTAGTTTGACTTTACTGTTTGGAAAGATAGGTGTACATTCCAAATTCTATTGTGATTTAAATGTGGAGTAACTATTAATGACCTTGTAAATTTTATGTTTGTGTAAGTTATAGCAAGAGGGGGAAAAGGAGGGAAATTATGTTAAGGGCCTAAGATCTACTTCTGTAAGGGATACATGGGAAGAAGCTGCTGTTTTCCCATTGTAGCCTGTACACTCAAGTAGACCACTTTCCTCCATTTGGACATGTAAATCCTGGCTCAAGGTGTATCTACAGTTTAAATAGTGCAGAGTTGTGTGTGCTGTATTATAATTAGCAGTTTTACCAATGTTTTTAATTATCTACTTCTGTTTTATGGATAGTTTTTATGCTGTTTAGATCCAATGGCTTGTTTTTAATGGCCTGTCTTTAATATGGTGTGGTTGTTTTGACTGTAAACCGCCTCAAGCAGGACTTTGAAGAGGCAGCATAGAACTATCCCAAATAAATAATATATTTGTTCTTGTGTATGTAATATCAATAATTTTAAATTATATGTCTGTGTGTAGGCATACATTTATCTATACAGTAATCTGTGTACCCTAGTTGCTGGATTAGTTAGATTTTAGCTACTTTGATTTCAAGGTGGTCTTTACAGTAAAGCTAAATTTCTGGTATACATGACAAGGGTTTTTGAATTAAAAAAACAAAGGAGTGAGAGGTGAAGTGTAGTTCCCTTTCTTTGTAATACGGAATTATCTGTGCATTTCTTTCTTTCTTTCTTTCTTTCTTTCTTTCTTTCTTTCTTTCTTTCTTTCTTTCTTTCTTTCTTTCTTTCTTTCTTTCTTTCTTTCTTTCTTTCTTTCTTTCTCCAGCTGTCTATTGAAGATTCTGAGAGGAACCATTGTGTAATTATAGCTGTGAGGGCCAGTAAAAATGCAGGATGGTTGTACTTGTCCTTGATGTTATAAAAATGCAGATGAAATCTAGTTTCCTTTTATGCAGCATATTTTAATAAAATTTATAAAAACGTGCCCTATTGAAGGAAGCTCTATGCAGGTTTTGATTTGCATTTTTCTTTGTTTTTCTTATTTTGTTTTATATCATTTATATCTTATATCACTGGAAAAAATTAATGACTTCACAGCACTTTAACATTAAAATATAAAATAACATATAAACTGAAAACTCCATTTTCCCGAGTTCATCATTAATTTCATGAGCTGCATCTAATCCTCAACTTCTTAAGTTATTTCAGTCTAGTCTTTCATATAGTACAACATATTCTACTGAAATTAGTGGGGCTCTCCCCCCCCCCTCCAGTATAGAGTGAATTTACAGAATTATATAAGGCCTTTTCCCCTTTTGGGGAGTCAAGCCCACAAGGCTCCCAGTAAAGTAAAAGTGGCTGTAAAATTTTGCCTGCCAGTCTGTGATCCTAAGCACATAGAAATAAGTATCACTGGTTTCAGAAAAGCTTATTTTCAAAAAAATTGCCCCAGACCAGGGAAGTACAAGGGGGCAATCCTAACACATAGCCAAAGTTTTATTTGCTTCTCTTGAGCAGCAGTGTTTCATGCTGTGATGAGAGCATCAGTTAAAAAAAATTAAATTTGCAGTATGGAGTAAATGAACCTATGTTAGAAAAAAGGACAAGGATCATTTCTTTATATTGCTACACGTGCATCTAAAGAATCATATTAGAGTAGTGCCTGGTTATATGTAAGGTTTCATATTTTTCCGTGTGATTTTAACATAGTGGCACACACACCTACACCCCAAAAGTGAAAATGGCTAGAGATGTTTGAACATTAACTCTAGCCATATTTGTTTCTGGCTTCTTGCTGTGCATTTAGGACTAGCCTGCTACCCGTGCTTTGCTACGGTATTTAAGTTCAGTAAATCCAGTTGTAATACTGATGATGTGAAATTTAAAATGTGACATTGTCGTAGGAATTCTAACAGAGAAGACTGTAGTGTAAGAAATGAAGTACTTTTTTTTTCTCTACTGAAGGACCTCTCACTAGACCACATTGGTGGTTCTGCCCTCAGGGGCTAGGGTTACCAGGCTGCTTGATGAGCTCACTCTGGAGCAGGCCACATAGAACTGTCCATTTAAGAAGCAGCCGTCTGTTAAGTCAACTCCTGCTTCCTTCCACGAAAGTGATGGCCTCCCTACTTGTGTTCTCTGATTGTTTTGCTCATATGGAGACTGTTGTTCTGAGCACTTCAGGGTGACTTTGCTGGTACTTGGCCTGTGCAGCTGAGTGCACTGCAGGAGTACTATGTGCAAATGTCTTTTCCGTGTTCCTAAGTTGCCTCCTCCTCGTAGCGTTGGTGTATCTGGCTCAATGTTTGCTAGGAGCTTTCTTGGGGGCAGTAAGAGGTGAGAGGTGTGAGGGGGAGTTGGTGTGAGGGAGTGGTGATGTGGTGGACATTTCTTCAGGTTCATGAGGAAGGCATGCATCGAAATGGCTCCTAGAAATGTCCTTTACTATCTCCCCATAAACATTCATACCCTGGCCCTGCTTTTACACCTGAAAGACACCGGCCTGTCTGGTGTTGGGGGGGATTGTATTTAAAGGTGTTGGGGAGGCTGGGCCAGCAGCAGTGCTAAGGCAATCCTGCTGAGCAAACCTCCCTGGTGGCTGTAAGCATTCCACCTCCTCTCCTACACCTGACAGGCAGCTGCCTGTCCAGTGTAGGACGGGGAGGGGGGAGGAGTATTAGAAGCCACTGTGGAGGCAGGGATGGCAGGATCACTAAGACGTTACTGCTGGTGTGGGCTCCCTTGTGGCTTTAATCACCCTGCAATCACTGCTGCACCTGACAGACAACTGCGTGTTAGGTGTAGGAGGTGGGGGGAGTGTGTTGGAAGCCATCTCACCTCCTCTCCTACACCTGACAGGCAGCTGCCTGTCCAGTGTAGGATGGGGAGGGGGGAGCAGTATTAGAAGCCACTGTGGAGGTGGGGCTGCACCTGACACACAACTGCCTGTTAGGTGTAGGAGGTGGGAGGAGTGTGTTGGAAGCCATCAGAGAGGCTGGGCCAGCACAGCTTTGCTTCTCCTCACAGGTGGTTCTTGGCCACTGCTGATTTCCTCAACTGCCCTTAGCTGCCTGCAGTCCCCTGTAACTGTTGGCCTTTTTTACCTCAGAACACTGAGCTGTGCAGCTGACCAATCAGAGTGGGGGGTGCAGAGAGTCAGCTGCCTGGCAGCTGCATAGGAATCAATGGGGGGAGCACATTTTCCCCCTTTGACCCACTTAGACGTCTGATTTCTAAAAATCCCTTCTTAACGAGCACCTACGCCACGGTAGGAGCACTCTCCCCGAATTTGGTGTCCAGGGGTTTGGCCTGGGCATTGATTTTATGGTTGAGGGGACTTCCTTTTATATATATAGATGTAGAAATGTGAATTATGGAAGAAACATATCTGAGCATAATATTTGGTTGTTCCTGATGTGATTGTCAGAAGCCTGACTTCACTCTAGTGAAAGCTCAAGTATCTGGAAAGTTGCTTATTCAAAACAGTGTCATGTCTCCCAGTGAGGAATGAATTCATGTAAAATCATCCCAGCTAGCCAAGGCCTTATTTATTCAAATATAAAACTCTTCCTTTTAATTAGGCAAATTTAGTTTCATGGTATTTGGCATTAAAGTTGTGCCAAGAAAGAGGAGGTAGTGGGAAGGATGACATACAATGGTGATTTCATATTCTGTGGCCAATAATGAAACAGGAAATTAAAAAATTTCCTCCTTTTAATTAGATTTTCTATCGGCTAGTAGCCATGAAACCTTTATGGATATTAATGGGTGTCCAAAAGTAATAATAACATTTTGGTTTTGAACCATTAAAAGCAATTTCATTTATGATATAAATGAATATAAGTTTCCCCCAAGTCATCTAGACCTTCCAGAGTACAGTACTAAGGAGAGTTATATCCTTCTAAACCCACTGACTTCAATAGACTTAGACGGATATAACTCTATTTAGTACTGCCTTGCCAGAGTGCTAGAAAATTTTGATTTCGATTTGGCTTATGAAACTTCTTTTAACCATTTAACTAGTTTTCATTCTGCTCAGCCCTGGTATTTATTACTAGTGTGCATATTTGTAGATGAAGCCACACATAAAAATGAGCTGTGGCCATTATTTATTCTCTGGATGGTTGGTAACCTTGGAGATCCATGTTAAATTGGCCTAATCCTTAGGTACAAATATTTTTAGAACCAGTATGTGTTCTTACGACAATAATAGTATAGCTTTCCAGAAGAACTGTGCTTGCTTCTACAATACAGAACTGATGTTCGTTATGTCTTTTTAAAACTTAGCCCATGGAGTGGTTGAAGTTTCATTTGGTCTTCAGGATGCCGCAGACAGAACATTCCACATTGATTCTGAAAATGTCCAGACAAATCTGGAAAGAATTCAGCTGTAGTCCAACCATCCAGTCACCTTCCAGTGCATGTGTATTTTCTTCACATAGTTAAAAAATCACCTCTCTAAAGGCACTTTGTTGAGCTGAACCCAGTCCATTTTTGATACGTCAGCGTATAAAGAATCCAAAAATCCTGTTATAGAAGCAACATGGAGCCATTTCTAACAAATCTCTCTCTGTCTCTCTCGCTCTCTTGTTGTTGTTGTAGATTATCCTCCATTCTATGCACAAGTACCAGCCACGTGTTCATGTTATTCGGAAAGACTGTGGAGATGACCTGTCCCCAGTCAAACCCATTCCTTCAGGGGAGGGGGTGAAGGCATTCTCCTTTCCTGAAACAGTTTTCACAACTGTTACAGCATACCAGAACCAACAGGTAACTTTTGTTTTTTATTTTATTTTCATGAATATAGATTATTGTCAATGAAATCTAGACAAATGGAAGAAAAAAAATAAAATGTCTACTATGACTTTCAATAAAAAAGACTTTAATACACTTTAGAGTGTGTAATAGAATTTGTTCTGGTCCCTAGATAATGAATTGAGTTTGGGAAGCACAACACATAGGATAGGTATATATTGTTTTCTGCTCCTTAGAGTCTATAAAGGTATTTCAGAATGATCAGAAGCCTTGTTTCAGATGATGGGAAAGGAAAAAAATAAGGAGGTTCTTTACTATGATTACTCCTGTGCAATTTTTCATTTGTTACAGTATGTTTTTTGCTGAAGCCTTTCCCACTTTTGTCAGGCCATTCTCCTGTGCATATGGCAATGGGCATTCTCCCCAAAAGACGATAAAATAACACCATTGGTATTCCATCGTACTCTTGCTCATATGTCTCTGTGCATGAGAGATATTCCTGTATGTTAATTGGAAGTTTAATTTATCTTTGTAAACCATTAGAAAATTTAGGAAAGCTGCCTCTCTTGGACACTTCTATCTGTTTATTACTGCTCCATTAGTATTGTTCCATGCTTCTTCACCTCTGTAAAGTTAACAAAGAACAACTATGGATACATACTTTGTACCTTTTCTGAGTGCTGTTAGGCTGGGAGGAAGGTGTACCCAGTGCCATCCTAAGGACATTTGTCCAGGAGTAAGCCCTACTGAGTAGACCTGAGTAGGATTCTGAGTTGACCTGCTTTTTTTAGTTTGGTTAGTTCAGTTGCAGGCTTAGAGGAGTCCTCTTCTTTGTGTCCTCTATTTATGGTCCTTTCTGTACTCTCTTTTTAATCCATGTTCACCATGGTGTCCTCCAAGCAATTCTGCACTAAAATCGAATTCAGCCTTCTTTTTAATCCAGTTTTTCCCCCCATTCTGCACTAAAATCAACTTCAGCCTTCTTTTCCCCCCGGGTTTTCCCCCCATTCAGTATTAAATTATCTCCCTTCAGTGATCAGCCCAGTTTCAGCCTGCTGTTGCCCTGGGTTATTTGGATGGTGTTTTGTCGTGGATTTAAATTGCCTCTACTTGAACACTGAGAAAATCTGGAGTGGCAGGCAAATGTGGAAAGGACCATAGTCTGACTTTACCAAAGATTTTATTGTGTTTCAGTACAGACAGCTAGGCTTGCAGGCACTTCAGTGAACTGGAATCAGTATTCATTTAGTTGCAATTAAATCACATTGAAATGTGTTGCGCTTAGTTGTGGTAAATATTCCATAGATTGCATACAATTGTTTTGATGAACCTAAAGTGTATACATTTATTTATCAACTTTCTTAGTTTATACCTGACCTTTCTCCTCAATGTGGGCTCAAAGTGGCTTACGTCATTATCCTCTCCTCCATTTTAGCCTTACAACAACTCCATGAGGTAGATTAGAGTGCCTGACTACCCAGAGTCACCCAGCAAGCTTCCATGGGAGAGTGCAGATTTAAACCTGAGTCTCCCAGATTCTAGTCTGACCCTGTAACCACTATACCATGCTGGCTTACTTATTAAAAAGCACATACATGCACAGATGTTCACACAAACATACCCTGTGCTTTCCTGAAATAAGTTAGTAGAGGATGATTGAGTTCTTGTATAATGGTGGTCAGCTTATGTATCCTTTACATTATATGCATTCTTTTTTGTTTTTTAAAAGTGGTTGTAAAGATTTAGAAAGACTTAGAGGACAGTAGATTTATGTGGGTAGCAGTGTTTGAAGCAAGAGAACAAAGTTTGAGCCCAGTGGCACCTTTAAGACGAACAAAGTTTAATTCTGGGTACAAGTTTTCATGTGCGCACACAAGCTTATACCCAGAATTAAACTTTGTTGATCTTAAAGGTCCCACTGGACTCAAACTTTGTCCTTTAGAGGACTATAGTTGTTGAAATAAATACATTGGACTTTGTAGGTTTCTAAAGCAAAACCCTACCTAAATAAAACCACTTCCGTTTTTGTAGCAGCTACATTTTCAGTTTGCAGATATTCTTAGCCACAATCTAGTGAGCCGTACACTAATAGATCCATGCTTCAAGCAAGATGTGGGCTTTGTGATTTTCAAGCTTTAGGCCATATCAAGACCACCCACACCCACACACACATTCAGCATTCCTAAATAGGATGGATGTGAATCACATTTTCTGTGATTATATCGTATTCTCTTAACAGATCACCCGGCTCAAGATTGATAGAAATCCATTTGCCAAAGGATTTAGAGACTCTGGACGTAACAGGTGAGGTTTAAAGTACTGATTTTAATTTTAATAACTATTGTGAAGCATTTCTTACTAATAATACTAACAATAAGTTTCAAACAACACTAAGATCGATGTGGGCTGGGAAAGTTGATTGAGTTTTATGCTTTCCCCGCACTCAGGCTAGAATTGTTTTAGTTACGTCTTACAAGTTATATACCTAAATGTGGATATCATGAGACTGAACTGCATAGAATAAAGTAGTAATCTTACAGTTGGGAAACATTTTCAGAATTCTTACCTCTAACTGTGGAAAGAATTAGGATATTCGCCTATTTTGCATATTTACATGCTGCTTGATATTATCTTTTACACAACATTTTGTTTACTGCTGGAGGAATCTGTTCATTAAGCAGTAATTTTCAACTTGTAACTAATGCATTTCTTATGCTTTATATTTTATAGAATTTGTAATACCCTAGGGTATTGTACACTACAAATGTATATCGTTTTATACCAGTTTCACTGTCATGGCTTCCTTCCAAGAATCCTGACAGCAATACTATGATGAAATGTTGAGAATTCTTTGTCAGCGATCTCTAGCCTGCTCACCCCATACAAATTGCAGGTCTGGGGGGAAAGGAATAACTGTTCAACAAGTTTAGGTCAGTAGTGTAGATTTGCCCTTAAATGTCCTCCCCTGAATTAGTTTATGAACAGTATTTCCCCCTCCTTTCAAATGCTTGCTGTCCATATGCATAATGTCAAGAAAAAATAAGGATATGTTTGTCGAAACTGGAAGAGCTTTCATCAACAAGAATTCTAGATTGGTGTGTTTCTTAGACAAGAATTAAGTCAAGGTCAATTAATTATAATGACCTATTTTGCTACTTCAAATTAAACTTCTAGGCTGTGATTAATGATTTGTAAGTTTTATAGCTAGCTTCAAAATAGGTTTATTTAATGAAAGATACAAATCGGACCTCCCCCCATTTGTCATTAAATTTGACCTTCTGACCTACAGTTCTGAATGAAAATTAGCGTTTGGAGGCAGAAGTAGGTATCGGGATGAGCGCTGAACTAGTTCAAATCATTCCTCACAGATCGAACTCAGAGGGTTGCTTTTGGAAACCAGTTATCAGAATGGAACCTATCCTGTGGAGTTCCACAGGGCACAATTTTATTCCCCATGTTTTTCAAACTCTATGTAAAGACATGTAATAATTCATAGCTTTAGGGTTGGTTGTCATCGATATGCACATGATACCCAGCTCTGTGTATCCTTATCTAAATTCTCTGGTGATGCAGTAGAATAACTGCCTGGCTGCTGTGGTAAATTGGCTAAGAGTGAACAACTTGAAACAAAACTCTGAAAGACAGAGAGAATGGTTGGGAAGGCGGAGATGTTGAAGGATACTGTGCTCCCCACTTTTTATGAAGTTCAGCTTACCAGTGCTGACTCAGTTAAGAGCCTTGGGGTATACTGGACCCAAGCTCTGACTGGAGAAGCAAGTTAATGCAGCTACAAAAAAAAAGGCTTTCTCCCACCTCCCTCTAGCCCTTACCTTGATATGGCTGATTTGGCCCCCTGGGTCCTAGCTACAGTAACATTGAGACTAGTCTACTGTAATGAACTGTACAGTGGTCTGCCCTTAGAATCAATTTGGAAATTCCAGTTGGTGCAGAATGCTGTGGGTGGACTATTATCGGGAGCTAGATGGAGCACACATATCACTCCCATTCTGCATTCATTCCACTGGCTGCCCATCAGTTACCAAGTTCAAATTAAGGTATTGGTTACAGGCCCGTAGGCTGCGTGGGGCCCACGGGGCCGGGCCCCCCTGCTGATTTTGCGGGCCCCCTCCCCCGATCCTCTGCTCTCCCCCATGGCCTGGCAGGAGGGAGGGAGAGGCCGCCGGCAGGCCGGCCTGCCTGGAAGAGACCGAGCGACGATGGAAGAAGCGCGTCCCGGTTCCTGGAAAGGCCCGTGGCCGCGGGAGGAGGGGCCCAGCGCTTCCCAGACGGCGCGGGACTCGGCGCTGGCAGCAAGGCCAGACTGCGCGGTCCCTCAAGCCTCTCCCCTTACAGAGCGGCGCTTCTAGTCCGAGGGCGGCCGGCGCTTCCTAACAACCCCCCCCTTGCTTCTCATTGCAGCAGGTCGACTCTCCATAGTCAAGAGGACCCCCAGGCAGGGAGAGAGAGCGGGCTCGCCGGCAGGCTGGTTTTCAGGAAGAGGGTACAGGAACACAGAGTTTCCATGAAATCCTAAAACCGCTTGAAGCCCCATTGAATAGGAAGCTTGTGGAGAGCCCTGCTCCGGGTGGCTGAAAGGGAACTGGCGGCTGGAGTTCGCCTCCCTCCATCACCCCCCCCACACACACACCCCCAACTGCCCCATTTGCTGAGAGGACTGAACCGCCTGGGATCCCCTGTGCAGCGTTACTCCCAAGGAGCCCCGTCGAGCAGGATTTTAGGCTGAGGACAGCCTTCCTGAAGACTGGCCCCTCCGTCTGGATCTGAGCGCCTCGCGGAGAGGACAGGAGGAGGCTTTTCTAATTCATTCGTCTGCAGCACTGCAGGGGTTAAAGTGTGCGAGCTCATTAGAGAGGCCGGGCAAGGGGGGGGAGAGTCGACAAAGTATTTTCGGGGCGGGGGAGGGACTTTGCCATTGAATCTCCCAAAGAGAACCGGGAGGGCTGCAGATTTGCAGCTGGAGGGGGGAAAGTAGTGTTGCCGGATCCCTGGAAGGTTT